GCAGAGCAGCTCCGGCAGCAGCCCGCGGTCTCCGAGGGCTCTCTGAGGAGCTGCCTGGAGGCTGAGAGCCATGGGATGGGGCTGAGGGTCTCGGGCAGCGTGTGGGGGTGGGAGGGCTGATCTCATCCTGGGTTCGGCCATGCTCACCGCAGGGTGACTGTGCTCCCCCCACAGATCCCAAAGGATGTTGAGTTCCACTTGAACACCTCCACCTTCTCAGCCTTCATTCCCCAGGTGAGTGGTCCAGCCCTGCCTCCCTGGAGCTCCTGCCGCGCACAGCGGGGGCTTTCCCCTGTGCCAGCGGGGGGTTGTGCCGCTGCCCCTACCCTCTCCCTGCTCCTTGCAGCTTGAGCAGATGTACCCAGACATGCTGATGAAGCTCAAGCTGTTCGCCCCCTCTGCCCCATTCATGAACATCGGACCAGCGGGGGTCTCGCTCAGGCCTGTCGTGGATATCCAGGCCTACGCCATTCTTCCCGACTCCAGGCTGGCTCCTCTCTTCCTCCTCAGCCTGGTGAGTTCGGGCACAGCCTGGCTGGGCAGTTCCCCAGAACGGCCGGTGTGCGCTCCCCGGCATCTCAGCGGGACAAGGATGGGGATTCGTCCCGCTGCGTTCCAGAGTGCTGAGCCGTTCCTGCCAAGCTCCTGCCAGGAGAGGTGCCGGACACTGTCCGAATCCAGCCCAGTCCTGGTGCAGGGGGGTGTCCCCAGCAGAAAAACACCCGTGCTGTGTGCCAGGTTAACGCTGTGTGCAAACATGGCCCCTGTCCCGCCGCGTTTTGGCTGCTCAGAGCCGGCCCCCAGGTGTCTGGTGTGGGAGGAGGTGGGGTGAGCACCCCTGGAACTCTGCGCTCTCCCCCAGACAGGCAACGTGTCCGCCGTCATCGACGTGAAATCCGGCCACATAGTTGGGAGCCTGAAGGTGGGCAGGTATGGAGGGGGAGCAGCACAGGGGTGGGGATGGGGGGCTTCTGTTGTGGGCTCGAGGATGGCGGTGAGGTCGGGAGGTCCCAGGGATGTGGACCTGGTGCGGAGGGGATGAACTGTGGCTGGAGGAGCGGGGACCGCACGGCCATCGACAGTTGGGCCATCGACAGTTGGCACCATGGTGGGAACTGCTCCCTCCGTTGGGAACCGCTCCCTCCGTTGGGAACGCCTTCACAGCACCGCTTGTCTCCGTGCAGGATGAAGCTCTCTCTGAAGCAGTCCGATGTCGGCACCTTCCAGGTAAGCTATCCTGTGACCATGCCCAGAGCCGCCGGCATGGAGGTGAGAGCCTGCTGGCGGCCAGGGGGCGGGCTCAT